GTGGGCGGGTCAGGAGAGGTCTGCCACGCCATGTGGTCACCTCTGGGGCAGGCGGGAATCGAACTCATACGGAAGTGGCTTTAGCTTCTCAGTGCTGTGCTTTAACCCACTACGCCACCAGGGAGGGTCCAGAGCCTCTTTTTAAAAAATTTTTTAAAAAAGATTTATTTATTTATGCATACATGAACTGGGGTACAGGCCAGGAGGTGATAGCATTCATCAGAGACAGTGAGAAGCAGAACAAGAGTATTTATTGAAACACACTGCTGAGGGGAGCAGCGGGCCGGTCAGGAGAAGTCTGCTGCACCATGTGGGTCAGCTCCCTGGTGGGGGATGGAACTCATGCTGCTGTGGCTTCATAGTGCTGCGCTTTCACCTGTTGCACCACCAGGGAGGGCCCTAGAGCCTCTTTTTTTTGAACTCAGATTGTAACAGGGTGGTCCCCAGGAAAAGGGGAGGTTCCAGATTCTCTGCCCCCAAAGAGGGAGGAGCTGATCAGGAAGGAGTAGAATTGGGAGGGGAGATAGAAGAGGAAGGAAACCGGATGGAGATCAAGAAGGAGACCTGAGGGAGGCACATGGAGCAGAGAGACATGAGAAGAAGTGGCTCTTGTTTCTTGGCCCTGAACTGGTTGAAACAGATGTGGGTGAGAGACCCGTAGGGAGGTTAACGATGGCAGAGTTTATCTTGATTTTGATTTTGCTCTTTTCTTCTGGCCATTTCTGACTCTTCTCTATGAGTTCCCTCCGGAAGGTGCTTTAGACTTGTGGTGGGCTTTTGGGCTTTGCTTTGGATCAATCCTGTTTGACTGGACTCTTATCCATGAGGGGATGGGTGACTTTGGATGCTTGATTTAGAAACTATATTCTTTGTCTTTTCTGTATTGAACACTAATTGTATTAAAGTTCCTTTCTGACACAAGCTATGCAACCTCTGTCTACAGACATGGTATGGATGGAGGGGAAATGCTCTGAATAATCAGACTTTCCACACTAACTTATGTTATGACCTCCCTTTTTTGTATAATCGTAATATCAAAATATTCTGAGCAACCTTCAGTTTACAATTGGATTGCCTCAGCCTCAGAAGGCATTACCTGGCCCTGACAAGCAAGTACTGCACCAGGGTGAGATTCCTCTTGAAGTCAAAAGTCATTAATAAAAACAAATGGCTGTTACTGCAAAAGTCTCACTGCCAGTCTGAAGAAAACCCAAATCTTATCACTCTATCTCACTTAGCCTTCTATTCAGTTTCTAAATAACCACTCAAACTTCCTACTCTCTAGTCTTTAGATATGGAAATTCACCCGAGTGGCCTATTTAGAGCTAATCAGGTTTTCTACCATCTAGACTTCAAAAAAAAAAAAAACAACAAAAAACAACTCACTTAAATTTTTCAAAGAACCTTACCTTAATTTGATTTACAAGAAATTTCCTCTTCCTGCCCTCACTTTACTTTACCCCCTAGGATGTCTCTATGAGAATGAAAGCCTTTAAGTAATAGATAATGTTTCAGGGACTTTATTTTGGTTAATCTTCACTGTGGTAAATATAGTACTATTAGTCTTAAACTTTGTAAATCTATGTACCTGTTTCAACCTTGATAGATTGATTTTAAAAATGTTATAATCTCAACTAAAGGTCAAAAAAAATGACCCCAGACTATTCTTAGTAAAAAGGTGATTGTGATCTCAGCCCATTTCATATGCTAATGTCATCCCTCTGCCTGCTTGAAGTGTATAAAATAAACCTCTGCTAAAGGCAGAGCAGGAAGACTTGCACCCAACTCCCATTCCCCCATGTCTTCCTCCCGCCTACTCCCCTTTTTTCCCCTTTTTCCCCTTTTTCTAGGAATCTCCACTCGCTGACGCCGTTCCCACCTTGAGACCCTGCCTGTTCTGTCCCCCAATAATCCGTGATAGGGGACAAAGAGTCTCCGAGACACCTTTCCATTAAAAGTCTTATATGTTGGGCCCTCCCTGGTGGCACAACGTGTTAGGACGCAGCTCTGCAAGCTAGCCGCAGCTGCTTCAGTGCAAGTTCAATCCCTAGCCCCGGAGGTGACCCACATGGCGTGGCAGACCTCTCCTGACCCAGTGTACCTTGTCGATCTGTCTGTTCTGCTCCCTGCCCTGTCTCTAGTGAATTCTCTCACCGCCCCTACACCTCTGATTTGTCCCCCAGTTCTGCATGAATAAATAAAATAAATAAATCTTTTTTTTTAAAAAAGTCTTATATCTTTTGTTTTGATGTGGTGGTTGGCAGAACCTGTTTAGAGCCGGCAAGTTTGGGGGTTCTGGGGTGACTCACTCCCTGCCCTGTAACAGGGTTCACATATTTTATTGTTTTGACTTTGCTACACATAATTCTCTGAAATTCCCTCTGTATTGTTAAAAATGGCTACATTTCATCCTTATGGCTATATAATACTCCACGGTATGAATATACCACATATTCCTTATCTCATTATCCACCAATGGATATTTAGGCTGCATCCATGTCATAGCTTTTATAAAAAATGCTGTGTACATTGTGCACATATGGCTCTTTGGTGATGGTTTCATATTCTTTGGCTAGATGCCCAAGGGAGGGATTGCTGGGTCACACTGATAGAGGATGAGAGTAGAAAAACTGGAAAGGATACTGCAAGCTCAGGGACCAGTCTTGTACAAGGACATGGGGGTAGATGGGATTAACACTGCCATTAATGCAGCTATCAAAACTGTCAGATGGCCAAAGGGAGTATGAGGAGCACAGACCTGAGGGTGAAAATATGGAGATTAAGGAACAAACTCTCCACCCGCAAAGATGAGCCCCTCCCTACTGAAAGAAGATGATAAAACCCAGCACCGCCCCCACAGAAGGGCAGCCATCCCCTACCCACCTGTGACTAGCAGGTGTTCCTTTCCACCCACTCTCTCCCTCTGCAGGGGAGCAGCCTGCCGGTGACCTGCACCATGCTGGGGCTTCTCATGACCTTCCTCAGCAGAGACAACTCTCCTCAAGGCCACCTGCCTGCAACAGTGCAGGCCTCTCTCAGCAAACCTGTCCCTTTTGGGGCAGCTCTTCCTGCCTCCTTGTGCCTATGTAAGTGTCCTTCTCTTTTCTGTCCTTTTTCTAATAAACCTGCTCTGTAAATACATTTGACATCTCTGTGTCTGGAGAAACTCGGCTGGGAAACTCAACGGTGTGCCGCTGAGAGGGGAGCTCTAATGAAAACTTTCCCAGAGTGAACCCAAGGACCCCACACTCCAAACTCATCTCCAAAAACTATCAATACAGTAAACATTTAAACTTTTTAGCTTTTGAGGTGAATCCTGATCACTTTCCATACTGGTTGCACCAGTTTACATTCCAATAAAAAGCGAAATCGCTTTCCTTTTTCTCCAAAAGGAGACATCCCCTGACTCAGTGCAGGTATTTCCTGCACACCACTCAGAGCTGGCAGGCTGCACCCTGGCACTGGCGGAACCATGCCTGGAGCTGGATGTCTTCCCAGGAGAAGAGCCTGTGGAGAAGGGAGAAGGCTCTGAAATCCCCCCATTCCCATGCCAGAACGTGGGTGCCCAGACAGTGCAGCTTCTGAGGCCCAACGTGGCCTTCTTTTTATGTCCTGGAAAGAGTGCCACGTGGCTGAGAGTGGTTAAAAAACCTATGGTTTGCTCAGCTTTCATCCAGAGGACAGGGATTTCATCCAAATCCAGACAATGGAGTTGAAGGGACAAAGAGAATAGGAAAAAAGATGTGTGTTTTCCTCGAATGCTAGCGCATGCAGGTCATTCAGTTAACATGTTTCCAATGAATGAGTATATCCAGAGGGAGAAGTCAGGGGGTTGAAGCATAGCGACATTGCCAAGAAGTACTGGACTTGATTTGCATTTGGATTCCCACTTTACATTGTACATGGCAATACACGGAGGTCAAAATCGTGGGAGGTTTAAGTGCAGCTTAAGTCAGCTCTAGAATTCACATTCGTCTATGAAAAAATCCTTCAATCCATTGTAGCAGGGGCATGAGTGGGCTCTATTCTGGCCTAGTGACCTTGACCCAACCACAGCAGGAAGGGCAGTTTCCTTCTGTCCTTTTTCTTGCTCTGTGGCTGCTTACAGGTGCTGCAGGAAGGGGTGGAGGCAGGCTCCCTTGGCGCCTCTTCCCCAACCTTCCCCCTCTTTCTAATGAACTCTGTGTCTTCTGCCTGGCCTTTGAACTCTGCCTCTAGTAGTCCAGGCTTTCACACCCACTAACTTAGTGATTCTTTTCCACCTCCCAGGGAGGCCTGTTATCTTTGTTTACCTATGAGGATTCCCAAGCAGGGACTGACTTGCCTGAGGTCATCACACACCAGTAACACCAGTACCCAGCTGGGTGGGAGCTTGATTCTGACT